GTGAATTTTATAATCATGGCCAGCACTGAAGAAGTACGAAGAGAGATGGTTTGCCCCTGGACAAGTAGCTAGGGCTATTCAACCTAGTACTGACTGCAGGCTCAAAGCTAAGCTTGTGTAGAAGCCCTCTGAACTGCAGTCATGACAGCGACTACAGTTGCACATCTTCAGGTTGTTGCTGAATTGGGACCTTAACTTTTCCTGTGTTCTGCCTCTGTAGCAGGGCCTTTTTGCTCGTATTTTATTGAGTCACCAGGAGGAAGGAGCACTGAAGCGGGAATTTAATTGCCTGGTGACTGCCTTAAATTGCCATCAGCAGAAAAGGCTTTCTTCAGCAGCTGGACATTTCTTGGTGTCCTTCCCTCTCCCCACTTTCATCCCTGCCCTGCTGCCCCCCACACCAGTAAGGGAACATTCATTCCTGTGTCTGAAGAGGCATGGCAGGGCTCTTCTGCCTCTTGCTTTGGCATGTGAGAATTAACAAAGCTTTTCTGCCTAGGTAGACCCAAATGTTGTGTGTGATTTAAGATGGGAATTTTCAAAGGAGCTTGGGAACATTAACACTTAACTGTTTTGTGGGATCTGGGTGTTGCATTCTCCTAAGCCCCTCCAAGTATCCTGGCCTTAGTCCAGTAACATTGCTTCCTATTTCTGTAGCACCTTCCATCTAATGCACTTACCAGATATTAGGGCTCTCCTTCATGGGAGCTAATGGTTTAGCATTCCCAAGTACAGAGACGATGGACTGAGATGCAGCGGTGATGGGACAGGTCCATGGCCACATTGCTAATAGTGAACCCAAGTCTCCAGACCTTCTACTCATGTCATTGCATCAAGAGTTAAAGCTCTTAGTGCATACCACACGAGGGACCCTTGTTACTAGTCCAAGCTAAAGGCATTCTCCTTAGCTTTAGCAGACACTGCTGTAACTGTCTGAAGCCTATTAATTTGACGAACAGAGCACTGTTTTCTCAGCTTTCGAGTCTGGAAGCCTTTCCCTTCTCCTTCCTTTTTTTTCCTGTTTTTGTCATGGATGAAAGCACCTTTGAAAGAAAAATTGTTTTTTAAAGCCTGGCTGAGTAGCTGGAGTTGAACATTCAGGGAGTCTGTAGAACAGATTACTTGACCTTGACTTTCAAAGGTCAAAGTTGGCCTATTCCCCATGAGAAGAAATAACACAGTTCAGTCTTTACTTCTTCAGTGGCCGTTCCGTAAATAGACTTGTGTGTTTTGAGACCACCTGCTCGATCATCAAAATAGCTTTTGCCTCCACAATATTAAACCTCCAGGTTTAATTTGTCCCATCTTTAGTTTTCCTTGTATCTATTTATTTGGTGTGTGATATGATGGCTTAGTTGCCTAGTCTTCAAGCCTTTCAAACCAGAAATAAAAGGTTATTGTGCATGGATTCCTGCTACTTACTTTTTACGTGATCCTCTGAGATGCAAATAAGAAAGAAAGAGAGAGAAGGAAGGAAGGAAATGTATAATATTTAGCCCATTTTAGCATTTAAAGAAGCAGCTGAATTTTCAGACATTTATTCAGCCAGAACCTTAACTTCGAGTCCTTTAACATTCCTTGTTGCATCGTGATTGCTAACAAGAAGTCATTCAATGGCTGAGCCTTTCTGCTTATAGAGCTGCTTTTCAGGCCAAGAGCTCAATGAGCAGTGGCCAGTCACAGTTGGGTAGTATTTGCTCACACACCAAATGGCATGACCAACAGCAGGCCTCCTGATGGCACTCCTCCCCAGAGGTAGCGTTCCTTAATGGTGATTCTTAGAGGTGATTCTTAATGGTGTCAAGACACCAGGCAGCCTGTGTGCCCACCTGAGAGGAGTTTGGAGAAGAGAAGACTGAAGAGGGGTTTAATAGCTGCCTTCAACTCCCTGAAGCGGGGTCCAAACAGGATGGAGCTGGGCTGTTCTGAGTGGTGGCAGATGAGATGACAGAACAAGGAGCAATGGGCTCAAGTTGCGGCAAGGTTAGCTAGTAGGGAAAACACTCTCACTAGGCAGGAAGTAAAGCACTGGAACAGGTTACCCAGGGCAGTGGTAGAGTCTCCATCCTTGGAGATTTTTAAGACCCAGCTTGACAAAGCCTTGGCTGGGATGATCTAGTTGGGGTTTGTCCTGCTTTGAGCAGGGGGCTGGACTAGATGTGACTGGCTGAGGTCCCTTCCTACCCTCATTTTCTATGATTCGGTGATATACAAGCGTTAACTGAAGAGAAACTCCATTATGGGAATGTGGTAAATGTAAAGTCGTGGATCTTATAGCAAATGAGTGTGCGATATGTTCATTTACTGTAGAGTTAACAACCTGGGGGGGCATCTGCTGCAGGTTTGGACTGGTCATTGGAATCCGCTTGAAGTAAAATTGTTCCTTTCATTGTGAGAAAGGGGAGAAAAGTCTGTGAACAGTTTATTATTTGAATTCCATTGGTGCTCAGAAGGTCCGGCAAAATCAGGACCACACGGTGATAGCCACTACGTAAATGCACAGTAGAAGACATGTTTGCCATGAAGAACTTGCAGCAACATGACAAGGAAAATATTATTGTCTCAATTTCACAGATGGGGAGGTGGGTATGGAAAGGCTAAATGATAGGGCTGAAGTGACAGGGAGCCTGAGGCAGAGCCTGGAACTGAATTCTGATATCCAGCCCAGTGCTTGAAATACAAGACCTTCCCTGATGGCCTTGGAGTTGGCCCTAGGGAAGAAGAGCCAGTCTCAGTGCCCGTTACTGGAAATGGTTTTCAGTCCCAGTGGAGAAGCTGGGGCTTGGATGGATCTCGTCATCTGAATTAGCACCTCCGTGCACTGAGATGCAAACATACATCTCTGGTGAGAAGCTTGATTGAATGGATGTTGCAAGCGCGGGTTGTTTTTAAGCTGCAATGGAGCCACGTTAGCCAAGAGAGGAGAAACCTGCAGCACTTGCTCTGCAAAGAGAGAGAAGGATTTGGTTTCCACGGGCTGCCAGGGTTGCATGCAGATGTGCCACGATGGAATGAGGTGTGGAAATTATGCAGTAGGGTGATTCTTTCATAGCCATAAATGTTTGAATGATAAAGAAAAATAATAGTGCTTTATGCTTCTCTAGTGCCTTTATCTGAAGATCTCAAAAGAGTTTTGCAAGCATTCATGGGGAGACAGGGAGCAAAGCAGTCAGGTTTCCATTTCACAGATGAGCAAACCAAGGTGGAGAGGTGAAGCACTTCAGAGTGGGTATGCAGATCCCTCAGCTTTTGGTCTAGCATTTTACTGTTAGTTCACACACCCTCTTTTTAAGTAATCCTGCTCAAAAATACTTATCCAAGATCTTGGACTGCAGATGTCTTGCTGGGCATAATATAATTGCATTCTGCTTTTTACATTTTCTGGCATAGCCATTCTTTCCTTGTGAAGCTTTTCCATTCCAGTGTATAATCTGCTTGTACCTGGGAAGGAATCCCAAGGGCTGGGAAGTGGAAAGCTTGCTTTAAAATGTCAGCCCCTTTCCATTTTGTTTATTTCTTAACTGGATGCCTTATCAGCAACAGGCTTTCTAGCTTCTGGAACGAGAAAGTTCTTGGCAAACTGTATCACTCTTCAGATGAAGGGTCTTTTGGTGGCAAATGACTGAGTAGGAACGGGGAGAGCGGCTTGCTTTGCAGAGTGAAAACCTGAGTGTTTCTCTAATAGAAGGCAAACCACTGGTGCATTCAGGTACAAGAAACAGATCTTTGAAAGGGAAGGTCCATGCACTCCTGCGGCGTTATCACAGTGGTGTTACAGGAAACAAAATACTCTGGCATATATGAAGCATATGAAGTAGCACAGACAATGGGGCTACAATATATTTGCACTGTCTGGGCAGCGGGGAATCTAATTGCAGGTTTCAAGTTCAGGGGAAGATACCATTGGGCAGGCTGGTGCAGCATAAGTTCTGTGGTGTTCACAGCTCTGTGGGTGAACCTCACCCCTGACTTGAGCACTCACTGCTGATCCAGTGTTGGGCTCCCTTCACTGCTTCCCTGATGACCTTCCCCTTTAACCTGCAGCCCACCCTGCTCTTTCTGCCTTGCCCTCTCTGTGATTTTTCCAGTGGCCCTTATATCTAGCTAGATCTTAATAGAGGAGGTGGAGGATAGTTAAGGAAGGGCCAGGTCAGGATTGTCCAGATGTTGAGTAAAAGCCAAACTCCATAAATAACTTTGTTTTCAAGGTGTGGCCTTCCCCATTTGGCCCTGGCCCGTGAGCAGTCCTCCCTGGCATCTTTGCATCACTACTATCATTTTGTTGCTCTCCCCTTTGTGTCTGATGCTGATATGCTGCTTTTCTTCTCACAGTCCCTCGAATCAATGGACACCCCAAGCTGGACAGGCACCGCGAGCACCCCCCTGGTTATGACAGCTCTTCCACCATGATGAGCAGTGAGTTGGAATCCAGCAGCTTCATTGACTCTGATGACGACGATAATACGAGCAGGTAGGGAGCCAGTGTCGTGACATTTTGTGTACCCCCAGGACAGAGTCGCTATGTTTTCTGGTAATTATTTAGGGTCAGATTGTGATCCTGACTCTGCACCTGGTAGGGAACTTAAGGGACCATAAGATGACTCCTTACCCCTTATGCACACACCCTCTCTGTCACCGGTGGGGAGCAAGGAGATTCAGCCTTCCCCAACACATGGGCAGTCAGGGGTGGGGACTGGGTGGAGCTGATCTGACACACAGGAGAAGGAGTCTGCATCTGGTATAGGGACCGGGCAGATGATGTCTCCCATCGGGAGGAGATTATGACTTTGAGTCACAGGGTAGTCCCTGATCTTGTTCTGAGTAACCACAACAGCACGCTGCCCCATGCCTGGGGATCATACCAAAGTCAGAGCTGAGCACTAAGTTTACAGGGCTCTTTACACTGAGTAAAACTCCCTCCCTACTTTACAGGAGGCTTGCAATGGAAGGCCAGACATAGGATAATAGTTCAGGTGAGGGGGAGTGAGGAGAGGTGAGACATGCAAGGTAAGAAGTGTTTCTGGGGCTGTTGCAGGAGAGAAGAGCTTTTCAAGTACAGCACTGCATTAAGTGTATTAGTCATTAATTAGATGCCCTGTCCTGTGGCTCCAATGTTGGGTTTACAATGTTGCTAGCTTTATGTCACTGCCCAGTCAATTGATAGGATCAAGTACATAACTGGGGACTCCTTCAGAAGGATATTGCCCAGGGAGCTGATGTAAATCCAGCAACGCTGATAATGACTGCAGCAGCATCATTGGGATATTCACCCCACCCGGTAATGATACAGGCAGCTGACCACTGAACTAAAACTAGATGGGAGGAGTGCATCCTGGTGTCATTTCTTGAGGCCCCCCCCCTCTGTGAAGATGGGCACATCTGATCGCTTTTGCTTCCAGATACGAAGCAGCCTTTGGTGAAACTAAACGATGGAGGAGATCAGAAGAAGCACCTGCTGGAGCTGACTTCTGTGATCTGAATGCTGCCCTTTTGCTACTACTTTTCATTTACCTCTGAATACTAGGAGCTGGCTAAGAAATTTGGACCTAGATCCCAAATGCCTCCTTTTTGGAGAGCCAGTTAAGAAATTACATTGCGCGTCCTTCAACTGCTCTGTCCTCCTGCTCTGTATCTTCAAAGCAAGGATGGGCACATTTTGAAACCTAAATAAAGTGCACACATCAGGGACTGCCACACATTTCTTTTCTGTGACTTATTGTGAGCTGCAAATCACAGGCTATTTGTAGAATTCGGCAATGGTGTGAATATTGTAGTAAAACTTTTTTGTGAGATCTTCTAAATAAGTAGACACTTAATTAGTACCGTATTGGAAAGGAATTCCTATGGACTTACATATGCCCTGATCCCCAGGAGCAGAGAGGGAATTCATCCCAGTTAATGCTGTTACAAAGACAGCCTGTGTTGCCAAATATTTACATGGACTTTAATTAATCTTTACCTTGCATGGAGCCAGGGGATGAGGGAGTCTGTGGGGAAAAGCTCCTTGCTGTTTTTAAAGTGATCGTCTGTACCAAAGCACCCTTGTCTGAACATGTTTGCCTTTCCTTGAGGGGTTTATAGGCTGACAGGTCCCTCAGATTCCAGTTATGTATATTTTTAAAAGTCCCATTACTCCGTCACTGCAAGGTCTAGAACAAAAATAGGTGTTATTTTTGCAAGACCAGCCAGAGCTGATGCTTCGTTTTCCCCCTGCCGGCCTCTCAGTGGCAGTGTGCTATAAGTGCTATCTCTAGAGGCTTACCAATGTCCCACGCTCCCAAGCCGTCTCTTAAGGGCTGAGAAAACCCATTCCAGGTCTCTGGTCCTTCTAAGAGACCTCTAAGAAAAGCAGGAAAGATATCACTCAGTGTTTTCATACTATACGGTGGAAAGGAACCAGTTTAAAAAAGCAATAAAGGGCTCTCACTCAGCAAGATACTGGAACACATGCCTCCCTCGAGTAGCCCATTGCCTTGGGTAGATTTGCTCACAGGGATGCAGACGTTCGCTGCTTGGTGAGCTGGGCTTCAGCCACTTTGTCTTTGCATGTCCTTTTGAGCACACCTCCCAGGTCGGGCTTTTTAGGAGGGTGCAGTGAGGTGTTTGGCACATAAATGTCACTTTGCCTGTGCACATGTGAGTTTGTGTCCTACCAGTTCACCTGTGAAAAGGGGTGACCAGTTTTGTTCTGACCTGAAAAATATTTCCTCTCAGCTTTGGATGGTGTCGGGAACATGGATGCATGGCCAGCACGGGTAGACTCACATGCAGTTAGAGATTCCCCTTGCAAATGTGAGCCTTGAGCTTGGACCAGGTACATCTAAAATGTGCCGGCATCTGAAGCCCGACAGCCTAATCCTTTGAGTACCCTACACGTATGAGTAATCACATGGCTGTTCAAGTACTTTGCAGGTTTGGGCACTTTGCCTTTCACCTGCCTCTGCTGTAAGCTTCCCGGAAACCTACAGGCCTCGCAAAAAAATAATTCCTGCAGCTTATTTTGTTTCTTGTAAATAAATGAATTATTTCCATGGCAGCGAGGGGCAGTAGGGTAGGATTAGCACAGTCAGGGTAGCAGTTGAAGCACAGTGTGCTGGACCCAGCTAAATCCTGTCATAGATTTTAATAAAGCAAAACTCAGCGCCTGACCCAAGAAGAGAGAGGGAGGGAGGAAGGGAGGGAGGGAGAGGTTCCTAGAAGCTGCTGTGGGGGCCTATTCCTTTCTAGGCGATGGCAGAAGCTTTTGGCGCACACAATAGCTGGCAGCGAGCTTGTCAGGAAGAGCAGCTGAATGGAGTGCTTCAAGGTATGTTGTTTTCATCCCAAGACAATGTTCACAAGCAGGGCAAGGGACTCTGCTGGCAGGGGGGAGTAGTCTGAATAGGCAAGTGCAGCCAAATAGAAAATCAAGCATGTTCCAGTTCTGCTAGAGATCAGGGCCTGGGGAAAGGGCCCGACGGGGTAAGTTTGCTTCACTTCTCTGGTGTAGGAGGCTGATTTGCAAAGGGAGGGTGAGAGAAGCCACACGGACCACAATCCAGATGGAGTGGGTTTCCTTTTGTTAGCAGCAAGGAGGATGTGAACTTGGTACTTTTCTAGGTGCGTTTGATTGATTTGGACTCAGAGTGGTGCAGCGGAGTTGTTTAATCTCCAAGCCAATGAAAGCTGTGCTGGGTTTTGATGAAGCAGAGGAAACTTTATTTCAGTGAGCGAATTGTTCGTGGGTACTGTATGGCAGCACAGTTCCCTTCTCTATCTGCTAAATTTCTCCTTTTAACTAGCATCCTGTGAGACTGAAATTCCTTTGACTTCTATGCGACATACGGTACGACGAAGCATTTATTTTTTTGTAATGCTGGCATCTCTCTGAGTCTTGGGTTCTTGAAATACAAATGCAATTTCACTGTCTCTCAGGGCTCAAGGAATTTTGTGCTTTGATCTTTTGATTCATGTTTCTATTTTTCTGCTGGAAAGCAGAAAATTGCTAGTTTGTTCTTAAAGCCACTCCACTCCGTCCCCCTTTTTTAAAATCATAGGATGTTGCAGGGTGTATTGCAGCCCATTTTCAAGCCATTAAATAGTTTAAATATAGTGGTGTTTGCAGGCAGGGGGTGATATTTTGAGTATGGAGCTGGCTGGGGAACTGCTCTAAGCAGTCTGCTCAGTAAGGAGAGACTTTTATACACTCTCCTACTTAAAGGTAATAACTGGTTAGCAACTGAGAGGTACTTGAAAGTTTTGCTCACTGAGAGCAATTTGCATTTGTTTCACATGTGTTGTACTTTACAACACCTAGAAGAACCATTGGAAATAGAGTTTTCTAAAGCATCTCTGTAAGTTGTATTTGGTTTAACCTGTTGATTATAGCATTTGTGGTCCTTTCCCCCTCCTCGTTGGAGAGAATAGATTGCACTGATTTATTTATTGCTTTTTGGTAACGTTAGAGTGGTGTTGTAGCTGTGATGATTCAGTAATTATGCAAGAAGCAAGGATTTCTTGGAATGATCTCTTTTATTGGATCAACTGCATCGTTTGGATAGAGTTAGGCAAGCTTTTAGATGCAGGACATTGTGATTTGTTTTCTCACTTTAAACCTCTTCAGGGGATTTAATATCTCTTCCATTCCATAAAGTGTTAATGGCATTTTGGCTACAGCAGGAGAATGGGAGGCAGGACTCCTGGCTTTTGCTCATGGCCCTGACACTTTGTGAACCTGGGCAAATCACAAAAGGCAATGATCATTCTTACCCACCTTTCAGGGATGTTGTGAAGGTTCAGTAATGAATCCTTATTAAAGCGCTTTAGAAATGCTGGGGGTAAGTGTTCCTGAATATATACTTGCAATATTTATTTATTGATGATGCTGGGAGTAGGCAGTTATATTAAGGCCACGCGTATAAAAAAGTTGGCAAGTTGGGGAGATGGCTATACTGTGTTACAGTAACGTGCGGGAGGAAATAGGTTCAATTCCTTTGATTTTTTTCCCTGGCTATTTTTTAAAGAAATCCGCTATTTACAGATATGCTTTCATATTGTCTAGGAGTCTTGCCAAAGCAAACTGCCCTGCCTTCTGCCAACACCCAAGGTTATTAAGGCAGCTGAAGCCCTTATTTAAGTCCCTGCAAGAAGGCATCAAGAAGGAACTGAAGTAAATGCTTGCATATTTGCCGTTTTCCCCCTGCATAACTGTACTGTCCCTTTCTGTCTTCTACCTTTGTTCTGTGAGTACCCATTCCAGTGTTCCCCATGTGCAATGGGAAGATGCCTGGGCACAAACAGAGGCTGCCATTTTGTTTCTGACTATCACAGGCCCAGGAGTGAGAGCACCAATCCGCATCAAATAAAAAATCCCCAAAATGATTGCTTCTGCTTTAGAACTGAGACTGATTTCCACCCCTTTGCAGTTTCTGGTGCAGCGTTGCAGAACTTGCAGTATCACAGATCAAATTAATTCCACTTCTGTTAGTGCCG